GCCAGGGTTCCCGCGCTCGGGGCTCGCTCGGGCGCACACGCACGGAGACGAGTTCGTATTGAAATTATCGTCTAAAGCCGATTTGCTCTCAAAGGGATTTCGCCCAGGTGACGGGGCTGCCTGCGGGCGGCGGGTGCGGTTTGCGGGCGGCGGGGCCAGCCCGCTGTGGAGTGGCGTAAAGCAGGGCGGCGGGAGGAACGCATGTGATGCTCGGATGGGGCCCACGGCTCCGTCCAGGGGCCGCATTCTGCGCCGTGAAGTCTGGCCACACCCTCAGCAGCGCGCGGGCCTCGGCGCGGGGTCTGNACACAGCCACACACACAGTCACACACAGTCACACACGCAGTCACACACAGTCACACACAGCCACACAGTCACACACGCAGTCACACACGCAGTCACACGCAGTCACACACACAGTTATACACACACAGTCACACACATGCAGTCACACACACGCAGTCACACACAGTCACAGTCACACAGTCAGGCACACAGTCATACACACACAGTCACACACACGCAGTCACACACAGCCACACACAGCCACACACACGCAGTCACACAGTCACACACACGCAGTCACACAGTCACACACAGTCACACACACAGTCACACACGCAGTCACACAGTCACACACGCAGTCACACACAGCCACACACATGCAGTCACACAGTGACACACACAGTCGCACACAGTCACACACAGCCACACACATTTACACACACAATCACATTCACAGTCACACACACTCATACACACATTTACACATAGCCACACACAAACATTTACACACACAGTAACACATTCACACACAGTCACACACAGTCACTCACACACAGTCACACACAGCCANTACACATAGCCACACACAAACATTTACACACACAGTAACACATTCACACAGTCACACACAGTCACTCACACACAGTCACACACAGCCACAGTTAGTCACGCACACACATTTACACACAATCACACATTCTGTCACACACTTACATTCACACACAGTCAGTCACACACAATCACACATTTACACACGCACAGTCACGCACAGTCACACAGTCACACATACATTCACACACATTCACACATTCACACATACAGTCACACACAAACACAAATTCACACACAGTCACAGTCACCCAGTCACACACAATCACACACATTTACACACACACACAAACACGCACACATTCACACATTTACACACTCACGAACACATACATACACTAACAAACATGCACTTACATTCACACTCAAACACAAACACACACACACACACAACACACACATTCATACACACATTCAAACACACCAACACTCACACACATTCATACACACACACTAACACACTCAAACACACACATTCACACACACACATTCATACACACAAACTCAGAACACACACACACACACTCACACACGTGGTTTTGAGCAGCTGGCCCGCCCCCCCCTCTGCCCCGGAGCC